TTATGTACAGTTCTTCTCATTCCTAATTAAATAACAGCCTATATAAAATACATACAAGCAATTGATGGAATTGCAAATAGACATTTGCAGTTTGAATTACATGATTGCTTGCTGCATGGTTACTTGATTTAGATTTATAGTCCACTCTCAATAGATTTCATCAAGATGATTGCACAAATAATACAATTGAAGACGTTTGCGAAGAAGTGATTTTGCATGACTAACGTTTTGTTCCTGGGGTCATCTCTGTATTTTCCTTATTTTTGAATCCTTAGGTGTTGCCTCTTCTTTTGAAGAATTATTTGTTTTGTTTCTAGTTAGTTGCTTCAATGTATTTTATTGAAAGTTTAAGTAAATATTTTTGAAAATCAGAATTGCTTTAAGAATTACAGTAATTTGTTGCTTTATTTTGACTAATGTTGACTGCAGCTCGGCGATCAGGTTTACCAATTAAGTTTCTATTAATAGTTTGAAACACGGAGCACTAATACCATATGTGCATCTTATTTGTCGTAATATATTTTTAAAGTGTAATTTTAGTAACACGTGTTCACACGCATTATATTTTTATACGAACATCGTTATATAATTTCAAAGACATTCAGTACGTGAATGTAGAAAAAGAAATCGATAAATCTGAAGTTGAAATCCCCTCCTGATGACGAGCACTATTGACTTGAGCCATCGTGTGATCTTTATTAGGTCAAATATCAATCGCTGAACAAATTGAACATTTCAATGTCGGAACACACAAGGGCTACGTCGATGTGGGCCCTTTTTATTGACTGCTATTGATCGAAGTGGCTGAATTGTGTTCCAATCACGCTAGACGCAGCGTCGAACTGATATTGAAGAGTCAAATAATTCTAATGATCTACTGACGGTGGATAGGAATTCATTCATTTTACAAATAAGGAAGATTGCAATCTGTAGTATAAAAATATTGGCATAATACTATTAATAGTTAAATGTATACATAATACGATTTGTGAGAAAGTTTTTTTATACCAGACAGACTAATGTTACATAATGTCAGCTTGGGTCAAACTTTTACCCGTAGAGTTCAATTCTTAATAATAATAACGAATACGATGATATCAACTGTTATTACCAAAATGCTATATTTAAATCTTCTTTCAATTCGTGACCAAATGTTTTACGTAATCCAAACATGAAATGGACTGTCTAAATTAAATTACAAGGTAAAAAATAATGGCAGTTGACATTTTACTTTACTGTAATAAAAGCTATTAGTGAGATAAGATAGGAAATACTTACTAGGTGTGTGTGCTCGTAGATATAAGAAAATAGTTTATTTTTAAGGTCGCTATATTTTGTCATATCATAATTACTTTTTAATAGACAAGAAAGCAATATTTTACAATTTTTGTCAGCTAAGTACGAACCGCAGAATATCATGTGCATCATTCAATTTAATGGAGCCCAAACGAATGGTGAATCACTTTAGTTTTTGAGTCATTCTTATCCAGTTCTATGAAACTTATGCACAGATACTTGTGGATATGTATGTTTTCATGAGATGTAACGGTTATGACGCGCGTTATTTAGTCAGACCACGTGTTGTCGCTATTTTGTTCACAATTGCTGCAACACCAGAGTATTTGTGTCCCTAGCTATTTATACGGCGCACGACTTAATCGCCATCCATTACGGGCTCAGCTCACATCGCATCCAAATGAGCCGACGAGGTAACAAATCTTCGTGATCACTTTGTCACGCGGACTTAGGCATACAATTTAGGGCTATCTTGTGAAATAATTGCCAAGAAGTCTTACCGTCCTATCACACTGAAATGTATTTAAAAATATCTGATAAACTTTAGCGTTTACTTGTAAAGAGCATTCTTGCGACTGTTACATTATAAAAAATAACTGTTCTACCAGACATTCCATTAAGCATTTTAGCGTGCATTCTAGCTAAAGGATATTAATGCTCCTTCAAGTCTGACATCTTCGAGAAGAATATTCATGACGTGCATCGACTAGAGGGTGCGCAAGAATGCTTATGAAAATGTTCGTAGCATATGCACCTCTTTGGCCATATGCATGTATTTTATGCTTGGGTCATTGTTCACTAAGGCTATTCAAATATAAAAATGCCAAATATGTAATCTTCTGTTACAGTGAATGCTCAGGTATACCAACACCTTTATGTAAGCAAATAAATAATCTACATATTATCCATGAAATTAAAATTAGCATTCGGATATCAACAGGTCTTGGTGTGTTAAGATAGCTTGTAGCGAATCCAAAGCATTCACTTTTGATGATATTGTATCGGTGAAAGGTTCATTTGTAAAAATATCAAAGCGAAAGTGTAAGGCCAATATTATTGCGTAGCTATTTTTAGATTTAATAGTAGGTAGAAGTTGTTTACAACAAATTAAAATCATCAATACAGAATAAACTAACAATTGGTTTCATCAACTGTTAATTTATTTTTTATTGTTACGGCCATAGATCGCCTGGTAGCTAGGTCTTGAGTGTTGTGATTTTGCCCTGCAAAAGAAATTGTACCCGACATATTTGATATTTTTTATAGGAAGATAACATTCTATTAATACGAGTTTAAAAATGTGAAATCAGTTGTTTAAACATGAAATGGTTTAAACCGAAAAAAACATCTCGTTTGTTATCATCCGACACATCCTGTGGGTGATACTCAAATCTCCAATTTTCAATTATAATCGTAACGCTTAAAGTGGGATGAATCACGGTAACGTATCGTGCTATTGTTTTAGGTCACTTGTTTGTGTATACCCATAAATGAAAAATAAAAAAGAACTGTTATTATTTTGGTGTTGATTTAATCCTGTTTCATGATTTGTTATAAACAACCGTACTAGATTTATTTTAAAAACAAGCAATCAATCTTTTCCTAGAATTTACTCCTTACCAAACATAAACTGTTTATCTACGAGCTTTTAGTTCAAAGTACGTTTCAATGCACCCGGCTTTTTTACTTGTAGGAATTCAGTCACCTGCTGCATTTAAAGGGCAAAAACCCGTCTAGACGGCATTAGGCTGGAGTGCGGGCCTACACTTCCAGCCACTACAAATGAGGATCTAGTATTTATCGATCGCATTATTCGAACACTAAAATGGAGACTACTCCACAAAGGTATCAACAGATTGTTAGCCAACTAAATGTAGACAATTTTTATCTGAAAATAACCTTGGTAGGAGCAGGTGACCTTTCTACTTTAAGAATACTAATGCAATTTAGTCCTTAGTCTAGGAATGCTCGCAGACTTGTAAAGCAAATGTAAATTGCAATTCTATAATCGGCGTCAGCAGGTTATTGTTTACTTCATTCCTCTATTGTCCGAGGCTCAATACGTTTTAATACGATTGTATGTATAGGAACGCTACAACCTATTATTCGAACTTTAACCTCGTAACCATGTACATTTTAGTTTGCTTATATTTGTACTGCGTGGCCATACGACTACCTCACATTAACACATTATGAGCATGATAATATCAGCTTCAAAAGTTAAACTCATGAGTATTTTGGTACACGGGACCTCTTGAGTCTTGACGTAATTTAATTAGGCACAACAACCATTATAGTCAATTACCTGGGTAGATACATACCATCTTATTCCATGCTGTGTGGGTAACTAATTAGCATGTAGTCCATTAGTGGATTAGAGTTTTATGGAAGTACCACCTGGCTAAGCTATTGTCCGTTTAGTGTATTGCTTACAGGAATTTAGCTCCCTAGGACTTTATTTCATCGTCTAGACAAGGAAGGCTAGTATCATGTCCCCTGGGGGAATAGGTAGCAGACCGCAAATAATGTTAGCGTTGCCAGACCGTGGCGACGAGAGCCCATTGTGTGCTTGTTTGAGCTTCTATTATGGCTTATTCGCTATTCCTCTTGCCGACTGACGACTATATCTGTAGCGTCTACCATTTTATACTTAAAATATAGTTGAGTATTCGATTAATCTATAGAGTACTACCTACTCAAAGTTCAGATCAAACTGCTGCCGATCTATTTCTAAATACTAAACAATTTTGTTTCCGTATTCTTAAAGACCTTGATGATTATTATTAGAGCTATTTAAGTTTACCGATAATTCCTTGTCAATCTAAGTTTCTAACTATCGATACACATGAAAATTCTAATCACGAACGAAGGGTGCATGCAGGCGACATTATTCAAGGTCGTTGAAAGCAAAGTATCAAGTGCTACATCTAAATTGCATGCCCACGACAACAAAGCAATTCCCCGAAAGGTACGGGGTTGTACAGCAAAAGAACGATGCAAACGCAAAGAACTAACGAAACTACCTACTTTCGGTCATTGTTCCTTGTTCGTTTGTCTTTGTGATTTTCAACTGGGTTTTCGCTGTTCTGCCTTGTGATAATAAGTAGCTGGCTATTATTCCTTTGTTGTTATTACTGCAACAAACTATGAATTGTATGTGTTTTCATACGCAGTCTGCAGATAGAAGAACAACTCTTCTATCTGTAGGTGATTTTGATGCCAATTTATGAAGATTTCCTTCTACAAATGGACCTCTATTGAAATGTGCTTTTATTAATATTATTTGAATAAATATAGTTCAGTAACATCAGTCTCAATGTAACGGGATAATCTCGCGTGCACTATGACGTCACGTCATGTTTTAGCTTAAGAGCCGGCTCATATTCTGAACCTAACACCGAGCTGCGCTTGCGGCTGCAACGTAGAATGCGCTGTCTTGCGGTTCGCCTTGTGGTCGTCGCCGTTCGCCACTCACGCCCATAATCTGCGATAGGAATGCTAATAGAATTAAAAGCTTCAAATAGGCCACAGTTTGCATTGTCGCATGACCTCAACACGGATTAAAAAACGAATACGCCCCTTATTTTAATTTTACTTCTCTACTTTTGAATTAATATGAGCCCCTGTTTGCGTGTTTCACGATTGTTTGATGATAAAAATATAGTAGCATAATGCTCTACAAAGTTTCCTTTTCTTTGTTACAGCAACTCAAAGATGAGCTCGGTGAAGTGGTCGCGGAGCTGGAGGCTCTGGATGGGCAGGAGGAGTGTAAGCAAAACAGTAAAGCCAAGCAGATGAGCATAGGAAGGAAGAAATTCAATATGGACCCGAAGAAAGGTAAACAAAAACTAATAAATTCATTCTCGAGAGAGTACGACAAGCCCGTTCGCTGAAGGGCCGTGATACCTGCTCAGTGCATCTTACAAAAACTAGCAACATAGCCGTGAGTTTAAATTATTGGAATAGAGAAAGTACCAGAGTTACTGAGTAACTTTTTTTGTGCGAAGAATGCTCTCGTCTTTCCTTGATGGATTGGTCATACAAGGGCCTGCTTTCTCATTTAGGTTCACATTACATTTATATGAGGCAGATGAATTATTTATTTAGCACAGGTATTTAAGAGATTGTGGGATAATATTAGTCGACTATTTCACGAATGCAGAATTTCGTACTGTTAAGAAAGTAAAGATGTAAGAATAATAAAAAAATGTATGCTTACTTACTGCTTAAAACCATGATGCAATATTTTAAATGGAAAAGGCGAATATTACTTAGTATGTAATTGTAGTCTTCATTTTCACAAATGTCTAGACATTTTTAAGTGTTATGTGTTGGCTAGGCTTTTTATATGGTAGACAATGGCATCAGGCTTTATGTTTCTTGGCTTACCGTCAAGGTTTCGAAATCATATAGACATTTAATTACAATTCCGGAAAATTTAATCCCAAGACTTATTAAGCATTTTTGTAGATGACACGTGTATGTGATTTAAGACAATGTCCAATAGAAATAAATATATGAAGCAATTAAGGTGTTTTTATGGGATCCTTCGTCATTAAAATAATGGCGGTATAAAGAGAATTCTTGGTACAATGCTATGTGATGCGGCAGGTGCGGCGTTCTCACGGCCGGTCAAACGACATATTCTGCAAATTGTTCTATTCCTGCACTTAACACCTGTCCAACGGACAACTCTTGTAAATAAATAGATTATATTAAACTATTTTCCACCACCCTTTAAGTGTTTATAGCATATTGCTTTTTGTCGTCTACAAAATAAACACAAAATTATTCTACAAGTATTTTGCTAATTTCATATTTAAATATTATTATATTCACTTATTATAAATAATGAATTACGTGCGCGTGCAATCCTTGAAAAACTCGTAATTGCATGTTCTACTTTAAAAGAGCCTCGTCACCTCGATGTTTTGTACGTACGTGCACCTTATATTATTTTGCATTATAGCTGATCGTAGCTAACAGCAGTACCTAGTATAACCTAATTTTTTGTATAAAATATTCTTTCACCCAACGGTATATTCCTAAAATTCATAAAATAATAACGCGAAGACCTCGATATGCTTTCGTTCTATCTCAGAGAATATTTGTTTGGCTTATCGATCGAAACGAGTCCTTTTTAAAATGTATACTACCTCCGTTTTTCTCATAAAATGCCCAGGTGCGTTAGAAAATGTTTCAGTAATGTTCGAATCTTTCCATGTTATGCTTCATTGCGTTCTCGTGATCATGACTCTGGCAGTTTACGCTACTATATTAGATGTAATCGCTACCAGTGGTCGCCATCCTGTAATTAACTCGATAGGTGGACTTGATATAGGTTAGGTTTCTGCAAGTAACGGTACAAATTACTGCTATCAAGAATGCTTTCGATATGGTAATAAATCATCGCCACCCGCTTTGGAGGGAAATTGAGAGTTTTTGCACGAAACTTGTATTGGCTTTGTGTTGTGTGTGTCTCGTTTAGTATTTGTGGGTAGTAGTAGATTAGAAATTCAACTAAATGTAGCAAGTTGTATTAAACAACTGTACAGTACGTCACATAAAGTTTCAATTATTTCCGCGTAAATAACATTTCAATTTCATGATAATGAAAGAGACAAAAAATGGGAAAATCTTTTTCACCTGACTACTGTGCCAGTACTAATTAGGTCATGTTGACAGTAGCAACTAGCCTTCTGAGAGGTTGGATGCAAGGCACGAGGTCTACTGAATACATGCTTCAAGCTTGGCAGACGCTCGAGCACTCCCGTCCTCAAGAGGGGCGTAATGGGATGTAGTTGTAACCATATACCTGGACGCTTCCTAATGATGTCATCTCATGAATACAATCATGTCTAATGACAATATTTTTTACAAACAACAGGAAAACTTTATAAAAAAAGCTGAATCTTTTGTCAATATATTTTTTGTCATAAATGGTTCCACATTAAGAATTCAACGTTAAGTTAAGCAATACAATTAATCCATAACGTGCTATACCGTTTGCTAATAATTCATAGTATTTTGTTGACCGGCTTTACGCTGTAACATTATTTCTGCGCGTTAAGCCAGCTTCGCATCGGGATTAGCCATGCTGGATTATAGCTGCGACATTACGGTAAAGGGTAATCACTCTTACAGAATCGTAAATGTGGTCGCTACTTGTAAAAAAACTTAATAACTTTATAATCTATCTGTCCCCACATTGACTATTTATATGAAAAAGTAATGAATAAAGAATAAGACACGTAAATAATAACAAAAGTTAGTAATATTGTAAAGTCATCAAATCGCTAACGTAATTTAGATTTCGTGTGAACTGGACGAATTATATAGTATTATTTATCATCATTTGTACAACAAATGTTACATTGATCGTCAGATTATTTCTGGGAATAATAAATTAGCAGAGCATCATTGCAAACTGTTGCCATTCTGTGAGAACGGAATTCTACTTATAAAATACATTTCAATGATCAAATAGTAATCCAATTAAACTCGAGAAAGGCTTTACACACGACTGGACTCAAATCTCGTACCTTAGTTAGTTGATTTGTTAAAATATTTCCACTCTAGGAATGTTGTTACCAGCAAATAAATTCATTCTTTAAGCCACAAAAAGGCGTTAATATGCCGCGTATTCTGTAAAAGTTTAATTGTGCGTGGTTTTGCATGATCGAGATCATCTCTAATCTTAGCAGACTAATTAATATGCGACAACATAATCATGCAGCGAATAGAAAATAAAATGGAATGTATTGACGATATTAAAATATTAATTTAGTTGACTGTGAAGCAACAACTATTATGGCCGAGACATCGGAACGACTGTCCTCAGTAATTGCATAACTCTAGCCTTATTCACTTCATAACTGCATGTATGCATAAATAATTTGGATTACGTAATCGTATACGGACTCCAGTGGCATATTTCCCTAGGGAAATTATTAAAACTCCTTTCATTCTTCCCAACGATTAACTGTCCACCGATTTTCTTTGCATATAGTGGACTAAAAATTAAAAGGACATGCAAGATATAACCTTGTTGACTGATACAGTACATGTACAGTAGATTGTCATGCATCAATTACCATTAATCATCTTGTTTATCAGCCTAATCGTTAGTTAACTTGGTTATCCATAGCCTGTGTTAAATTTATCCATTCGTGTCACTGAGACTTTTCATAACAAGTTTTAAGACTGAAATCTGAAACACTTGATGAATTATGTAAAATCTAACCGATAAAATCATTCGCTTTGAAATGTTATTTCTTGTCTTAAATTCGAACCAGTCTGTACATCCTATATACAAACAAGGTATATAATCTAATTACATATTTTTAATTAAGTGCAAATTTGATTACTGTAGTTAGAATACTTTTATGTATACATACGCAAAACATTAACGTTCCTTCAATTACATAGCTGCTGAATCAAAGCATCGATCTGGTTTCATGTTTTAGTAGACGGCGCGCCATCGCCAGTGCGCTATCGCTAACAAGCTTGTTATTGTTGCAAGCGTCACACGGTCGCTCCGCTTCTCGCTCACTTAGCACCAACGATCCGTCATGCTGCTATCTGCAATTTTGCATGCCGCAAGATGGAACCTTCAGTCGACACCAACATTTATAAAACAACCAAAGTGCAAACTCGCTCGACATATACGATACGGAAGATAAATGGCTTATATTTATCGCACACTTACCCCGGGTTTACTTTGTAAAGATTTTCGATGGTAAAATATCTTCGCTATAAAACTCCTTTTAGTTGCTAAATCGCTGCCTGTGCTTAAGTTAAATCTGTATTTTTTTCGAATAAGATTTTGCGTTTATTTTCAAGTGAAGCCTGAAATACACAGCCCACGCTTATTACCCCCCATTGAAGCTTCTGGCTCAATGTGGGAGCGGATGACGTCATCCAAAACCATTAGGATTTTGTACGCAGTACGATTGTGACGCAAATATTTAAATTGTATAGACTATCTTGGATGGCGGCAACAACTTTACGAACCAAATATCGTGTAGTATAAATATATGTATATAGTATAGCGACCCGCCCCGGTTTCGCAAGGGTGCAATGCTAATACTTAATTTCTCCGTTATGTAATGGATGTTATTACATATATAAACATTCTTCTTCAATCACTATATCTATTAAAAACCGCATCAAAATACGTTGCGTAGTTTTAAAGATTTACCCACACACAGGGATATAGGAACAGAGAAAATTACTTTGTCTTACTATGTTGTGATGTAATTCTATGTTGTACTTACTTAAACAAACATAATAATGTAGAATCTAAAACGAGTCACTTTGATTTGTTTCTGCAATAAATACGGGTCGTAAATTATTTCTTTGTAGTTTATATAATTTCAATAACTGGTTGCTGTGAATGCTTGAGTTGGTAGGTATTGAAAGGTCGACATTTAGCGTTTACATAGCGGGCATTGTTTGCACAGAAGTGCATTCCAGTGCTCCTACGATTGCAGTTCCAAATGGGTGCAGGTACCTACGGTCATCGTTCGCTTTCTCAATATTTTGCGCATTGTCGAGGGCACTACTAAGCTTTTACCAGGCTTCACCTTCGAGAGTGAACGTTTAACTAAATGCACAGAGCAGTCGGTAATTTGTATTCCACAAAATGAGGATGTTTCGCTATGAATGACGTGAATATAAATTGAGGAAGGAAAATCGTACAAATGAAATCCAATGATTAAGTTTTAATTTAAACTCGTTTCATGTTCGTTCTTTGTTCATGTTTAAATAACTATTATAAGTATAGTTAATAAAGAATGGTAATTGTTAAGTAAGGAAAAACGCGATACAGGGAAAGTTTATTGTAAGCTACCCCGGTTTTGCAGTTTAAGAATTTTGTTTACTCACATGATCGAAATTCAAAAGTGGTAAAAGTTTTATTTTCTCTTTATGCGTCCGTGCCATGCCACAATGCCTGGGAGACAAATATATTTCCCACTATTTTATTAATTATGGAATTTCTTCACGTATGCCTTCCATTATAACATGTGTGAATTTTGTTTTAGGAATCGAGTACCTCTACGAGAACGGATTACTGCAGAGGACACCTGAAGATGTAGCGCAATTTCTTCACAAAGGTGAAGGTCTAAGTAAGACGGCGATAGGTGACTACCTCGGTGAACGTTCAGAATTTAATGAGGCGGTTCTCAAAGCATTCGTTGAATTACACGACTTTACGGATCTAATACTAGTTCAGGCACTCAGGTGAGTTGAAGACAGTTTAACTATATCTATAGTAGACTTCAGAAACCAAGCAGCACATGAATGGTTTCTTTGATCAGAAAATCATTCAACACACGACACAGGCTTTAGTGAAATATAAACGAGGTGAACGACCATTTCGTGGTATCAAGTGAAACCTTTTGCTTTAAAATTGGATCGAATGGCTCGATTCCATTTCAGGTGGATTATATTTTCAAATGGCTGAACCGTTAGGATTATCTAATGCATAAATAAAATGGCAGTAGTTTGAAACGAGTTTTCAAAACTGCAATAAATAGTTGTAAAATGTGCCAGCGCCAGAGAAATGGTAAAACTGGTAGCACTGAAACGGGAAGTTATAATCTTGTTTTAATATTTACAATTTGTGTGTGATATTAGTTTCCTTGTAAGTGTTTAAACAAAAAATCTTACGAGACATGTTTCGGGGAAAACTTAAGATGTGCAAATAACAAATATTTTTACATTTAATGAAAACACATTTTTAATTAGATTGTTTATCTGAAAATAATATTTGCCATTAGTAAAGACAAGTTACAGATAATTAGATGTTGTTCAAGAAATTCCAAAATCGATAACGGTTTATTGTGAATTGTTTTAGAACGCCAATTCTCGTTATTCGCGGCATTTGTTTTTTATTTGATGAAAATGTATCTAGATTTGAACACTTTACAAGTTTATTTGGTTTTTGTAGAATAAAACAAATAAAACATTGATGTATGTATTTGTCAGTATTCTCATCTTCACTTGGCATTCGGAAATGTTTCACTTGGCAGACATAGAATTTTGAACTAAGGTCATTCACATTACTCTCTTTCTCAGACACATAAGCGTACTTGCAGAAAAACGAATGTCGTCTCTCCTCAACTATATTATGTATAGTGTAATATCGAGATCTTGTTATAAACTATTCCCCGTGTAGCCGCGTTAATGGACTTCTATTAAAGTGCTGCTCTTATCTATTACAGACAATTCTTGTGGAGTTTCCGTCTACCGGGCGAGGCTCAGAAGATCGATCGAATGATGGAGTGTTTCGCTCAAAGATATTGCCAACTAAACCCGGATATCTTTACGAACGCGGACACATGTTATGTACTAAGTTTCGCGATAATAATGTTGAACACTTCACTACATAATCCCAGTGTTAAGGACAAGCCGCTGCCTGAACAGTTTGTGGCCATGAACAGGGGGATTAACAATGGTGGGGATCTACCGCAGGAGTTACTCTTAGTAAGTATCTAGTGACATCTATACTAAATTACTAATATTATAAAGAGGTAAAAATTTGTGAGTTTGTATGTAGGGGATAATCTTTGGAACCACTGGTCGGATTGCTAAAATTCTTTCACTGATAGATAGCTACAATGTTCCTGAGTGCTATAGACAAACATTACGCTACGATCAAATGGAGCTGAGCAGCGGGTGGAACCGCGCGAGAGTAGCTAGTGTTTACTAAAACTCTTTGTTTATTTCTTTGTGTCAATCTGCCTTACTAGTAACAGTTCACACAGATATCTTATGTTTACAAATATTAAACTGTTGATTAATTGCTTTTGTGAGCTGGCTGTGGGAGCACTCAGCTGTCGATTGTTTCAAACGTCGTTGGAGAATCTAATTACGATAAAGGTCGTCCCATTCTATAAATAAACTGTCGAGTTCCGGATTTGTATGGGATGGAATTTAATATTTCCCGGCCTAGACAGTTCGTCTAGCGTCTTCGCCCACACTACTCTTACTGACGTCATTGTAGTAGCATTAGCACTTCGTGTTAGGTACAATAGTAAACCGTATAGGCAATATTTAGGTCGCTTCGTGCATTTACTTATAGTTAGCTAGCATGCGAGGTCAGCAACATACATTGTATTAAAATTTATAATTTTAATATATGGTTTAGGTGACTAGATGTTTCCGGTGTTTCCTTCAATTCTAGATCTTAATTCATTACTCAGGTAATGCTTACTCATACCAAATGATAAATGCTAACATAAACAACTAATTGGTAACCACATACGTAATTATTATTTAAATTCAATTAGTCTATGAATCATTCTATTTATTGTGAATTCTCATGGCAGTTCAATGATATTATTCAAAACATTTAATGATAAAGAATTATTTAATATTAATTTATGCTAAAATAATTTGTTCATTTAATATACAAATTCGTATTAATTCTTAGGCTTCAATTAGGCAAATAAATTAGCTAAATTCGGTATGAGTCTTGTGGTTAAAAACGTTCAAACTTTAGGTTTTCGCTTAAGAAAATAAAATGTAAAATTGATTTAAATATTAATTGTTGACAATGTTTTACTACATATTCGAGTTGCTAGTTCGGTATCGCACAATAAGTATTGCTAAAAACCACTGGGAAATACAATTTCCTGATTGCGTTGTCTTTAAGCTTGTTTTCCTAATCGAAATCACGTCAAAGTCACATAGTTTTTATTCCTTTCGGTTGTGCCTGTGTGGCTAATGAAACAAATATACTTATAAGCGATAAATACTGCTATAGATAATGCATGTTTACTGGTATCGATGCCAATAGACACACTGCAGTCATAATACCGCAGAATAATATTGTAAATGCGCACATTCATTGTAGAAAAGCACGTAAGTACCTATTATGTACTATTTTTTATTTCAATATTTTTGCTATCTATGTAATACGTTGCGGAAATATTATTGTTAGTTATAAATAAATTATAATTAGTATAAAAACAATCACGGCCACCCGGCCCAATCTGTAATGGTAATAACCCGAGTTGACGTAAATAACTTTATAAACAATCTCAAATCATTAGCGTGTTATCTATGAAGTAACGTCGCGATAAATATCAGTATCTTAATGTCACAGTTGAATGTGAGTTACTGTTTAAACTAGTGGTTTCATGTCCATTCACGGACGTTAAAAGTATTTAAATGCAAGCCACTAAATGGGTGTTTTAATTTTGTTTATATTTGTGACTATTAACTCCTAAACTGACGAACTTATTTTCGTTCGCACCCCGTAAGTGTTGTTTACGCTGTTAACTTGGTGGTAATATGTTTTATTGAGCGTTTTATATGTTATTTTCAGTCGCTGTACGAGTCAATAAAAACGGAGCCGTTCAAAATACCGGAGGACGACGGCAACGATCTCATGCATACTTTCTTCAATCCAGACAAAGAGGGATGGCTGTGGAAACAGGGAGGAAGGTGAATATATCTATTTTAACATTTCATTCTTTACATTTACACCAAAATATTTATATGTGAATGGTTATTGGTCCGATCCGATTTCGCACAATGAATCTTAAAACTTTTACATTTTACATGAATTTGACAGGGGAACTGTATTAACTCCACCGCCACCAAGTTCGGATATTTCCATCTTTGTTCACGTGGCAACGGAATAAGAAACAACTCAAAGACGAGAGATCTCACGTTACACTTTCTTTTTGCGATCAAATGTCATTGAGATTAATGATTTCAAGTGCCTTCGTTTTTAATGTTATGTAACTTGAATTCTTTGCAAACATTCTTATATATATTATTTTGGATCATTTTACCAAAGAATTTCGCTGGTCATGGAAATTAATTGGAATTTAAAATACCTTTAAAATACTGTTTTCTTCGCCAAAAATGTTAGTTTGCAAATGTATTTACGAAAAACATGCGTAGTATTTTGCGTAGCGTGTTGCTATGGTTGTGGTTCGTTAACGTGAGATGCTAATACGTATTATAATTAGATACCACGTGCTCATTATCCATCACTCGAAACAAAACACGCGAGTGAAGTCATATAAGTGTCATTTGTATTATACACCTAAAAATGTGTTAAGTATGGCACCGCCCTTTTAATATTATCCCCATTAACCTAAAACACGTAAATTTTTACCGTCCATTTACCTGAAATTAATGCTAAAAAGGCAGGCATTAGACGAAGATCTGACTCCAATATAATATTATTATTATTGAATGTATAGAAGCTTTTTGTGGGCACGGTTCAATGCGTGTTGTTTTCCCATTTTTTGGCATCAGTAAATTAGGATCGTAAACTGGTATTGTAAGATGACATCATGTTAAGAGGTATGAGTTCATACCTTTGTATCTGGTCAGATAATATGATCAGCTTTAGTTAAACTAACATTTGCAATATACGAAAACGTCTATTCATTAAACAAGAAGAGTACACAAACTCAATTCAAGTTAACAATAGACTTGTGTATCTATAGAAAATTGAGAAAAAAATCGAATAGGTTCGGTGCGCAACCAAGTGGATCTATTCACTTAAACTTATACTTTTTTTCTATTTAAAATATATTCTACCTGTACTAAGACTAGATTTTTTGTTACTTACAGATACAAGTCGTGGAAGAGACGGTGGTTTATATTGAACGATAACTGCCTGTACTACTTCGAATACACGACGGACAAAGAGCCCAGGGGTATCATTCCATTAGAGAATATTTCTGTAAGTATTATGTACGCAATATGATTTTTCTTATTTAAGGTCCTTGATTGTTAAATACTAGTGCAATCTCACTTTTCCTAGTTATATCTACTCTCTAAGATCACTTAGACACCACTGACTTATGGTGAAGGAAAACATCGTAAGGAAGCCTGAACTTGTAATTTCTTATTAAACATTTAAAATCGCACATCCGCCTTGAACAAGCGTGGTGATTAATGCTCAAACCTTTTCCGTGGCCTTTGCTCAGCAGTAGGCCCGTATAGGCTGATGATGTGTTGTGTTGTGTGCAACCTTTGAATCCTGAATAGCGATAATGGTATTGACTCTGTATGTAGGATTTGTATACTATCACTGTAACATATAAGCAAGCTTGGATTAATAACAAAAATGTCTATGACATCAGTTATACTAATTACAAATTCGATATTAGTATTACAATAATCCCTTTTATAACTAAGGTCGCGTCTACCGTACAAATGTCAGCCGCTGTCCCCTCTGGCGTGCAAACTATGCAGGCCTCATAAATAATGCATTGTAGTTAATAATCAATAATATAAACTAGTAATAACTAGTTAGGTGTTTCTTTTGTCAGGTTGAACTAGACAAACTAGTTTTATGTCGCTTCACATTCCGTATTTCTCTCTTTGCTAAGTGGTACGCAGAAAATATGGCGACATGTATTAGTGATAATTTGATGTATAGGGTAGTTCTCTACTAGTCAAACTTATTACGAAATTTTTCTGTAAAGTTATTTGCACGCTGTCATATTTATTTACGTCGATTATCATACTTATTTCGGATATTAAATGTATATGTAGTATTGTAAAATTAATCAATGACCGTGTTTTTTTTATATAATTTAATTACTTTTTAACCGAGAAAACTGCCCAATTGCCTCTTTGTCTAAGTGGTCCTAAAGACGATTGTCGAAGAAACGATATTTGTCTGGTTCAATAATGTACTTTTGGTTTGTCTTAATATTCTATGGCTTTGGGTAATAAAAAAGTCTCAGTATTTAATACCACGCCGTTTAGAATTTTATCCTGTGTGTGGCATTAAGCTCCTTTTGCGTAACTGGCGAATGAGACGTGATACAAGTAAGCTTCTAACTGAATGATATGTATTTATACTCATATTATAAAGAGGTAAAATTTGTAAGTTTGTATGTAGGGGGTGGGTAATCTTTAGAACTGCTGCTGGTGGGCTCTTCGGATTGCCATAATTCTTTCACTGATAGATGTCTGCTACAATGTTCCTAAATGCTGTATGCTATAAAACGTCACGCTACGATCAAATGGAGACGAGCAGCAGGTGAAACCGTGCGAGAGTAGATAGTAAATGATATATAGATGTCTATTTTATTGGTTCTAACACCTATGGTTGGTTGACGCGACTTCCGTTAGATAACTACTCGGACAAAAAGTGTTAATAGGTTTTTCTAGTACCTACCTATATATGCTGTTTGTGTGTTAGAGCCATTGGTCATGCACTTGACCTCCCTGTTGCATCTGATTGCCATCCTAACAGATAATTACATTGACGCAGCAGAATGATTGTGTATATTTGCGCTTAAACATTATAGTTAACACGCAAGAAAATACTAATCTTCTCTCTGATTGGTTCTTGTGATTAAATCTATCTGACGATACGTTATTTTAAACAGTATACAATTTACCATAATATTCAATTCAAAGGAAATAAAGAAAGAAATAGTGTTTCGAGTTAGTTTTATTCAATACTGAAAATATCCATATTTTATTGAGTATAAATATAAGTGTTTATAGTTTGTATGAAAGTAAACCTTTACTAAAATATCTTAATACACAAAAGTCATTTTGTAACGAGATATTATCACAGATTACAGTGTGGTAAACTATCAAGTGGCGCCAAGTATGTCAAGAGAATACACTCAAGATTCGATAACAATCACCTCGATTTTAAATCCTTATGTTAACTGCAATATTTGCACACTGTTTGTAATCAAAGGCAAACTACGATCGACGGAGGTTTATTCTGTGTCGAAACGAAAGCTAATTTGTGATATTCAAAGATTTTTTACGAATCCCTCATGTAGAAGTTACGTTATTTATAAATTAGCTATCCAATAATTTCGTTAGTAATATATGTATACGTACCTTTGTTAGTTGCGTGCGCGCCTCATAGAGCCAATAGATCACCACAGACAGAATCTTACAGGTTCGATGTCCATTGTACAGCCGGGATTACGTGTCAAGCGTAATAAGGTACCACGGCTTAGACCTAAAGCAGAGGGAACGGAGGGTTTTTTACCCTTGGAAAAAAGTCATTTGTTGATATTCCCCCACATAAAACCTTTAGATTTACAAACATGCCGTAATTACTCGAAACGTTTTTGAATCGCTATAATCTCTACTCTACACGCGCACGTTGTAAAAGTAACATTGAACTTTTAACATTCACAAAAACAAGATGTTGAGAGTTTGTCAATATTTACTTTAAAAACTCGTTTCGCGATGAGTTCGCAATCTGTATTCTTGAACAGTGTAAGTAATGTATGTTTTATTTGGTTGCAGGTAAGGCCGGCCAGCGACAGACAGCGGCCTCATTGTTTAGAGCTTTACGCGAGCGGTGGGGCTGATCTCATAAAGGCGTGCAAGACTGACTCCGAGGGGAAAGTCGTCGAAGGCAAACACACTGTTTACAGGTAAATATAACTGTAACTCTTCCTCTACAAACAATTTGTTCACGTTTTTATGCAAACATAACGTCATTCTGCGAATTTAAAATAAGTATTACGACTACCAATAAGTTGGTATTATATTACGTATGGAGACTTTCCTTGTCGATACATTCTTTGGGAATTTTTTATATATTTCGAACGCTGTGTCGAAAGTGATACAAGTGAAAGTAATTTACACGTTCACGTAATTAAATTGAATTTGTAATATTTTCTCTAATTACCTACTGGCAAAGTATCCAAGGATTTAGGAATTCATGTAATTGTTTATCGTTTCAGAATGTCGGCAGCTACTGCGGAGGAGCGAGACGAGTGGATCGAGTGTCTCCGTCGCTCCATCAGTCACAATCCGTTCTACGACATGTTGGCGCAGCGCAAGAAGAAGGCCCAGCACAACGTACACTCGGCGCACTAGGCCCGCTACTGTACCAGTACCGAGTGTACCTACCGAGTGAATCTTACAATATCTTCCTTTGTCAATTGGTATTGTGATGCGCCAGGGTGACCCACGTACCACCCTGCAGTAACACGACGAGTGTTGGGATGTTCGCGATGTAACAGATTACACGAGTAATTAACATAAGTGCAATTCAACTCCATCAAACCACCTCAGCAAACGAGCCTTAATTTTAAAATGTGGTTTATACACCTTCAACCCAATAAAAGTTAACTGTAAGTGATCTTTTTTAGGGGTATAGCCTATATTAACGAAGTCGTGTTTCTTTAACTCCTAACATTGACAGTTATCATAATTTATTGTAGAGAATATAGTAGAATTTTATAAATACGGTGTACCTAAAGAGTTATAGAATGAAGTAATATGCGTAACGAGTGATATGTAATGCGTCTGATAATAATATAACGTCTATATCAACATTAATGGCGAAATAAGTTTAATTTTATCGTGTTATTTTGTGTCAACGTCATAAGTGAGCTTAACCCCGTGGTAACGTCCGTCAAGAGTCCGCTAATGACTTGACAATAGCCATTAGTCATAACTCCAATGAATATGTGATATTTAGCCATGATAACGTCGTACGGAATGTATTGTGTTGTACATATCAGAACACAATAACTACGCATCATTTCATGGCTGCTGGTCCATGTATATAAACGAAGGAAAGACTGAAAATTGTGCTTTTTAAACATCGCCTATTCGAAAGTGGAAATTGTAGTCGCGTGCGTAATCATTTACAGATTGTCAACGTAGTTGTAATTTAATTTATATCACACGTCCGCACCTAACAAAGTAAATCGCACATCGACTATACATGCAATAGAACGAAGCAGGGCGTGACTTGATCGTTACTGTCTTAGAATACAACTTGGTGGAAATTACTGTTAGTCACTGCTGTGAGATTAGTTGGTTTTTATGGTGAGAGAGAACTGCCAAATTATAATAATTTGTTAAAACAATAAATATGGGTTATAACATTTTCTAATGTTATACAAGTTGTTTTCTCGTCGTTTTGCAGGACAATAAGTTCGTTTTGTGAGATTAGCAAAATGTTTTGTTGATCCTTAGCGTAATAACACAGTGGTGGAATTGTATTCAATGAAAGTATTACTTTATTATTATTGTATTGTAACATATTATGTGGAGAAAGTGTAAAGTAATACATGTATAAATAGATAATTAGCCTAACTAAGTGTATGATGGCCATTTTTCTCGGGAATGTAAATATGGCTTGATGACAGAAGGTAGAAAAGGCAGGGCAGCCAATTTTTGAAAGACTAGTTAATGGTAAAGAGAAGTTAATCTCAATGAGGATCGGTTTTATTTATGTTTTAGTCGATAAATGGAATAGTGGTTATGGTTGGCGTCATCATTCTCATCATCATTTCCGCCCATGAACATAGATATAAACTGTAGGTAATTTTGTAGGACTCGCCTTTAAAGTGGCCTAACAACATAATCAGTGTCATCAACATTGTGATTCGATTAGTATTTCAGAAGTTGGATGTTATCAATAGTATAATTTTACGTTAGATGACAAAATTTTAGTTTACATTCCTGTTTTTTAAATCATTTCGAACAAATGTAGATGCGTCTTATGCTTCAATTATGTTTTTAATAATCTTATGAACTTTTCTTTCTAATTCAATTCTTTATGGTCTGTAAATAATTTCAAATAACATGTAATTCAATTTCATTTAATTCTAATTAAAATTTCCTATCTTTAAAATGAAACGTGGATGGATTGTAGTGTGAAGGATTATTTAGAAAAATCTCTTCTTTGGCAACACATAAATATTTATGTATTATTTTTAAACTAAAACGGCCATACTCATATCGCCTTAATTTTTATATAATTTGAATTATATCTATGTGAATAAGGCTTTAATAGACATTTTTAGAAAAATAATATTTATCCATAAATACTAGGAACATTACAGATTAATATGGCTGTTTTAAATGACATAATTATTCACTATTATTGTTATAAAAATATGATTTATGAAGAATATTTTTATTATTATATTATTTGATTTGTATTAATGATATTAGGGAAGGTATAAATTCTGTTTTGTAATTATTGTTTATGGAATGGTGCCTATAATGATCTGCAACTAGTTTAGCTTCTAGTAGTATTAGAGTACCTACGTATAGTGCGCTGTATATTCGCTTAAGAAACGTTAATTTATCAATGTAATGTTTTATATGACAGCGGATATGTGCATAATAATGGTGTTGTAAATAATTTTGTAAGAAAAATGGATATACATAAAATATGTTTATTTACTACTTGGATTTTATTTTAACCTGATGTCTAGTTCATTTCCTTGTATTACCTTTATACCGGATGAAGAAATATAAAAACAGTTAACTGAGTTTACTACAATGAGGAATGCGCTAATTGCAGTAATTGACATTAACGACAATAAGCATTAATTAAACGAGGAGTGAATAAAGTTGGCGCTACACGATTACGATAAATGGCTATCGTTGTTCCACGCAAATTGCAATACTCGAAGAACCAGTTACATGTACAAATTTTCCTGAACACTTGTTTAATTCGACCGACCGTGACGCATCCGCCTTCCTTTTCCGTTGGTGAAACGTGAGTTGCGCAAACTAATGCTGAAATTATATTATTAGCTATGTCCTACATAACGTACTCTATAACATAAATTATATGCTGTTAAAAAGGTTCTCGAGTGGAGGTCACTTGGTTACCCGTTCCCCCTCGAGCTGGAAGCAGGTTGTTTTCAGTCAGCAGATATGGATGTCACCGCGGCCTCGGCCCAGAGCAGGAGAAGGAACGGGGGGTTTTTAGTCAGTAAGAGTCTGACACTCTCTCTCGCCTAACCCTGGGCGGGAGAAGTTATTCGATGATTTTCCCCTGACAAAAAAAAAATGGATGTCACTGGGGCGGGGTTTATATACTGCTACAACAACATTGGTGTTTAAAAGATGACAAACTAACAAAACATCTTTCTAAAACGAAGCACCAGTACTAGAAGAAAGACGTCTCTTGTTCAGAAAAGATATCCTAATATTTTAGGTTTGGGCCTGTTTATACCTAAACCCCTATCCATGGTTTGTGTCCTTGTAGGTTAACCGCCAATAATGTAGGTAGGTAACTACGGCCCCTGCTCGGAGCAGGAGAAGGAATGGGGTGTTTTTTAGTTAGTAAGAGTCTGACACTACCAGTATCACCACCGAACTTTATTGACGATATACTCCCCCTTCAAAAAAGATGTACCTACCTACTATGATATATAAATAGCATATCTAGCATGTTATGATAATAATTAAGGTATAATTACCAATAGGTGTTTCTTTAATAACGCCCCCACTAAGGTCTACGAACTGGCAAATACGCAATCATTATATCAATCAGTGTTCAGTTAGCGAATGTTATGAAATACATAAGTACTTAGTTACCTACCTACCAGTGCTGATTTGCATACATTGCGTGTTCAAGTTACGTAGGAAGCAACTCGTAAATTTACAAAGATCGATACGAGATTAGGTAAGTATTGGGCGAGGATGATCAATGATATGCTTTTATGTGTTTACATTTGAAGAGTAAGTACCTACTTATGCAATTACTTTTTTGTGAGGGGAAAATTATCAAATGAATTCTCAGGGTGAAGCATACGGGAGTGTCAGAGTTTTACTGACTACAAGCCTCCTCGTTCTCCTCTGTCTCTAGGCCGCGGCCGCGGTGCCTTGTTGCGTTTGCCCTGCAACCCCGGCTGAACATCAGCCCTACTTATGCAATTAGGTACCTACAAAGAATCATGTTCTAGATGCTAAATCTACCTGTACTGGTGAGTTCGAGTGCATCGTGCCGGTTGAACCTTATGTTGTTTGGTTCTATGTCGCTTATAAGTAATGTGTGCATATTACAGTCAAAATTCTGGTACAACAATTTGTCGATGAAACAATTATCTAAGTCTTCTGTTCTAGAATTTGAGCCTGTGAAATCTTGCGTAACAGTTCGTAGCCCTAGTTAGTAGGCCTAAAATGAAATCTTGAAGTAGCCGGAAAATGCTAATATTTTTATGATAACTGTAAAACCACTATTTGCATTTCAGCTTAAACAGACCTAAGTTGGAAAGTTCGCTTTCTTGTAGCTCTTAGCGGAAAGCACGTAAAAACATTATCTACAAAGCTTAGCAATTTTTGGATTCATACTCATGGTACCTTTGTAGGTATTTCATAAAATTGTTAAGTTTCGCATGCCTGTTAACTTGGTCAGTTATTTTAAAGCATACCTCTTATAAACTTCTATTTCTTGCTACATCTCAGTTTGGCCCATAGATATCATTAATAAAACATCTGAAATGACCTTAGACATGCCAGTGTGGAGGATCAAGTGCAAAGAAGTAAAAAAAAATATGACCTCGGATATGCCTTATGCATCGATTATAAAGTATACCAACCGGGATATACCCAAGTATGCATAAATAACTAGATTCCTCATATCAAACAAGAACACCAAAATCCAAACGAGGTCTACGGGACACAATTGTGCGATTTCAATTACTCGCGTAACAATTGCTTTGTACTTACATGAACCTACCTAATTTGTTCGTTGTGGGACTAACATTGGACATCACAACAGTACTATTTAGGCTAGTCACGTTTGTCGATGGGTCATTGGAAGCTACTCAGACATTAATGAGGATGATTATGATTGTGATTAAATATGTGCTACATGCAGGTGTGGTTGGTTAGCGATTCAATTGATTCAATATATTAGTTATTGATTGTTTGTTTATTTGTTTGACATTGAATCAAGCAAACCTAAAGTTTGGTTGATTCAATGTCCAGTATAGTTGTACCTACTTACTTAATATTAGTTACTAAACTCTTTTGCAAATAAATTGGGCACTTTAGATTTTTTCTCTACTTCAAGAACAAGAAATAGGTTTTTAATTTAACGACAATTATATTGGCATGATATTTGAAGCATCCTGGCATGATTAGTATATATAGAATACTACTTGAAGAAGGTTGTTCGCAAACTTACGTGTCTCAGTGGCTAAATGTGAGTCGTTCAACTGTCCAGAGGACTTAGCAACGGTATCAAGAGACCGGTTTCGTCAAAAGAAGACCCGGTTCGGGAAGAAAACGATGCACAGAACCAATAGATGGCCGCTTTTTGGCGAGACAGGCGTTGCGGAATCGTAAGGCGTCAAGTTTGGACCTGAACAGGAGCTTTGAAGAAGTAAGAGGACTAGAGGTTATCTTGGCAATCAGGAGGAGGCTTTTGGCTGCTAGAATAAGGAGAAAGGGGAGGTCATTCCTCTAGCAAGGAGTGTTCGTTCCAAAGTATAGACTCGTATGGAGAAGATCGAGCATCAGTTTCACATTAAAGTTCTTTGTTACCTACATTATTAAGTTGGTTCAATTAGCCAGAAACAGTGTATAAATAAAAAAAATAAAGAATCATTTCTCTGTATCACTCTATGCTTAACTGGTACAGTATACCACTATCTAAGTCTACCCTAGTAAACAAAGTGTTGCATAAATAAATACATACATATATGTAGTGTAGTCTGCTTCTGTGTTTGAGTAAGTCCTTTATTTATTTGTTCCTTAAGCTATTTGTTTAGGATTGGTTAAGAAGCTTTATTTAATTAATAAATATATCAAGACTCCATTGTCCAAGTAGGTACTAGGTACCTACACTTCGGCGAGGCGTCATCTCTATAGAGAGGTCAAGTGCCTCTCGATAGAGATGTGCCGTAACAGGCGTTGCACTATAGGGACACTAGAGTGAAGTCTTGGTGTTCTTTTCAGGTGATGATGGTAGCCACCGGGGAGGTTTTAGCAATATGGAGAAAATGTAATTCAACAAAAGTGCAGTGTTGTTAAGGTATATGAATACCTATTTTAGCCTAAGTTTACCCTGGTACATTAGTTTGCAAGGAATTTTTTTCCCTATCCTATCATCAGTAACGAGGGAATTTCACAACCCAAGGGTAGTAATTAAGCTGTAAGGCTAAGATATTGGAGAGTTAAAAACATTTAATTGTCTTGCGGTAAAGAAACAGAAATAAGCTGTGGCAAAATAAATTAGTAGATACTTTGATAAATATTGTGGTTAGAGTAATTGTTTAGCATTATAACCGGGGCTGTAGGGGAGAGTGGGGGAATTGCGGACGCGGGGTAAATACGGACTAGCAAGTATCTACTCATTCCCTACCCCCCGCGGCAGCCCGGTGCTGTCATCTGTTTCTTTCCGCCATTTTAGTGCCACGCAAAAAGTTACGACAGCCGGTTGTGCGCAGTTTAAAAGGTAGGTAAAATTAAAAAAAAAAGTGTATATTGATCTAATTTTTAGTGTTTTTTAATACGAGGGACAGATCTGTATACTAAGTGATGGTAAAAAGTGATATTTTCTATGGATAGCTTTGTCAATAGAGTTTGGATCGCCAATGTTTGTTTTTGTTGAACGTTTTCGTAACCTACAAATTTCTCTCTTTGATTTAAAAATATCCAGTTGGGTTAATTACGGACAAGCCTAGCGGGGTAAATACGAACGTCCGCAATTACCCCTAATTCGCTAAACTATTATGAAATTAATCAATAACTGCTCATTTTTAGATGCCTCGGAAATATATAAGAAAAAAAGAACTATCATACACCATCGAATCATTACAAAAAGCTGTGGAAGAAATAAAAGACCAGAAGATAACTTTTCGTCAGGCGGAAGAAAAATATGGTATTCCCAGAGCTACTTTGTTTGACCAAGTGAAAAAAGGCAGGGTTTCTACTTTACCAAAGAGAGGTAAAAAAACTGTTTTTAACGAAATACAAGAAAACGAATTAGTTGATTTTATTTTAAAGTCATGTAAGGCTTTCTTTGGGATAACAATACCTACTCTAAGAAAGATAGCTTTCGATTTTGCCACCGCAAACAAAATAAAACATAATTTCAATAAAGAAACTGGTATGGCAGGAATGGATTGGTATTACAATTTTTTGGCTAGACATCCAAATATATCACTTCGAAGGCCTGAAGCTACTTCTATAAATAGAATTACCGCATTTAATGAAGAAGAAACCGATATATTTTTTGTGAATCTGAAAGCTCTCATGATTAAATACAAATTTAAATCTGATTCAATTTATAACATAGATGAAACTGGGATTAGTACGGTACAACGCCATTCCAGGATTCTTGCACCAAAGGGGCTGAAACAGGTTGGAAAATGTACCAGTGCAGAACGTGGTTCTTTAACTACAGTCGTGAACTGTTTTAATGCTGGAGGCTCATACATCCCACCATTTTTTATCTTTAAAAGAAAAAGGATGAAT